TGCAATAAACTCCAAGTTGGTCCCCTGCCTTCCAGTTTCTCTGTACTCACATCCACATCAGAGTGCCAGTTCAACTTCCTGCTTATATGCTTCTGCCCCAGCTTCCTGCTGCTGTGCCTGGGAAGGCAACAGAATATGGCCTAAGGCCCCTGCCACCCATATAGGAGACCAGGATGGAGTTCTTGGCGTTGGCCTGGCCTACACCTGGCCATTGCAGCCACCTGGGGAGTGTACCAGCAGATGGAAGACACCTCTCTTTCATATAAATGAATAAATCTTAAAAAAAAAAAAAAAGTGTTGCTTAATGTCTCCAAGTTTGTTGTAATCTGTTCAGGAACAGCAGGAAATATAGATGGCCCCCGCTGGTTCAACTTAACCATGGTGTGAAGTGACACTCAGTAGAAACAGTGCTTCAGATTTGGAATTTGAATCTTACTGATATGAGGTCTAATCTTGGTGATGCTATGCAACAGTAACTAGGGCAACTCCAGTCTTGCTATCAGGAGGGGAAAACACCTACACTCTATACAGTATACTATGCTAAGCAGGTTAGGTGTATTCAATGCATTTTCTTTCTTTTAAAGATTTATTTTATTTATTGAAAGAAAGCATGACAGAAAGCAAGAGCCAGAGAAACAGATCTTCCATCTGCTGGTTCACTCCCAAATGGCCACAACTAGGTCTTGGATGGGCCAAAGTCAGGAGCCCTGCGTAACCACCTGGGTCTCCCACTTGAGTGGCAGGGATCTAAGTACTTGGAACATTTTCTGCTGCCTTCCCAGGCACATTAGCAGGACGCTGGATTGGAAGTGGAGCAGCCAGGGTTTGAAACGTGGGATGCCAGCATCTCAGATGACATGCAGTTTCGACTCACAATAAGGTTTATTGAAACGTAACCCCATCACAGACTAAAGAACATCTGTACACATTTTCTGATTTCTTTCCACATTAAAAGAGAGTATTTAGTGTCCTTGAACTCAAATGGAGATCCTGGAACACTGAAAAATGAGGTTTAAGTGGAATGAAGAAAAGAATTCATTTTGTAAAACTTAAAAACTGGAAGAAATCCACAGAAATGCAAACTTTATCAGTGACTGTTCTAAGTGGAATGGAGAATATACACCCCAGCTCACCAGCCCCACAGCAAGTACCTAACATCTCAATAATATGCCCTAGCAATGACATCACATCAGCCCTGGGCAGCTGTGACCTAGACTACCACTTAGCTAAGTCTATGGTAGTCTACTTTCTCCAGGATGTGGATTCTAACAGGGGCCCAACTAGTAAAACAAACAGAAATACAATGACTTTTTAAATGGAAAGAAAAATGCTGCCACAGAAGGTAGCATCCCTGTAGTATGGCTGAGTTAAATACTATCAGGCCAAATACACTAACCAATGACTACAAACTCTGGACAAAATATCTTCAAAAGAACAAAAACTTTCTGAAGAAACTAGAAACAACCAAAACAGATCCAAGGAGTCTATACTTGGAAGCAGCCAGTGAGGTCTGTTTTTGTTTTATACCTGAAGGCAGCCCCCAGTCTTTCCCATGTTAGGCAACTAAAAACCTCAAGAGAAACCAAACAGCGTTAGGCCGCCACCTGCACTGCCAGCATCTCATATGGGCACCAGTTTGAGTCCCAGCTGCTCCACTTCTGATCCAGCTCTCTGCTTGTGTGTCTGGAAAGGAAGCAGAGGATGGCCCAAGTGCTTGAGCCCCTGTCACGCACCTGGGAGACCCAGATGGAGTTCTGGGCTTCTGGCTTCAGCCTGGCCAGGACTCGAACACTGTGGCCCTTTGAGGAGTGAAGCAGTGGATGGCAGATTTCTGCCTCCCCTCTCTCTGTAACTCTGCCTTTCAAATAAATAAATCCTTAAAAAGTAAAAGCAAATAAGAAAACAAACAGCCCTTAATGGCTGGAGAGTTTGGGACAACCACAGGCATGGATTAATGGGAAATCTCAGAAAAGAAGTCAGAAGGGAGAAGCCCCACATTCTGTATATAAACTCTACTCAAACCTCTGGAGGATCCCTGAACCATGCACAGATGTGCAACAAAGTTTAAGCAGCCCAGCTAAAAGAACCAAACCATTATATATCTACTGCCCAACAAAAGGGAGACAGGTAGCAACAACAACAACAACAACACACACTCTTTGGAAGAATAAAACAGAATCTGGAGACTCTACAACATCTTGTTCACAAGGTCAAAGATACAACACAAAATTATTCAACATAAATAAAGGGAAAGAATAACCCATTTCCAAGAAAAAAACACAAGCGGTAATTTCAACGAAACTAAATAACCATCCTAAGGTCAAAAAGGAAAACATTCCCAATGAATGAAAAAAAAAATACACAATACTGGAAAATGCTGTAACTTTCTCAGCTACCAAATAGTAGTAGCTGGGGTATGAGGCAGTGATGAGCTATAAAATCTAATCAATATTAACAAAAAACCATGGGCAATTACTGAACGAAATAAGCCTATTCTGAGTACCTGGCCCTCCATAATGCATAATATTTAGTCAGTTCTTACCATTGTCCAATCAGGTTATCCTATTTTACAGAAAAGAAAAATTAGGCTCAGAGACATTAAGAAATACAGCTCAAGGTCACACAACTAGTACTAAGTTCTGAGAATCTTTTTAAGCAACGTTGAGCTTAAAAAGCCTATGGCTGAAGACTGGCAAGTGGCCAAAAAAAGCAGAAATCATAACAGAATGGACAATTTCTTTGAAAAATGCCAAGGTTTTTCAAAGGTTTCTCTGCAAAGAAAGCCAACTTTCCTGGTTAGACCTTGTACTTCTCCTGCTCTTTGCTCGTCCATTCTTACATCCACAACCTGTGAGATGCTATGCAGGATTAAAACAAGAGCACACAAGTAGTGTTTACTGATGAGATAGCTGCTCAAAATATATTATGGAAAAAGGACTACAAAACACTATGAATAGTACCTTGCAATATTTGTAAAAATGGGAAAAAAAAGGAAATCTCTAAGATCTGTTCACTGTGGTCACTAAAACATTAACAACGGTACTCTCTACGTTTTTTGAGCTTAACGTACTTGCTGTTGTTTTTCCCACAATGCACTACTTGCATAATACAAAAATTAAACAACTCACATGGTGGGCATAGACTATACACAACGTACTCTTTGAAAACAAAGCTGAGAAACGTGAAACTTGATTAAAATTTTCCTCTATTACCTAAACTTGTTCTTTCTCATTATCGACTTTTTTCAGTTTTTATCTCTAACCTCTCTGCTTCAAAGATAAAACAAAAACAAATCTCTATGTAGACATATTTGCATCTCCTCTACTGGGAGACAAGGTCTGAGTCTCACCTCATTTAGACCTGACAAGGTCTGCAAGAGCCTCTATTCAGCGCCCCCTGCTCTGCTTGCAACCAAACCCAGCCCCAGCTCAGTGACACTCAGTGCTCTGCCCAGAACAGAAACCTGACCATATCCCTCTACTCCTCTAAAGCGTTTCAGACTCCTCACTGCCTCTAAGATAAAGACAAATTTTTTAGCAGGGCACGCGAGGGGCTTCAAAATCTGGCCCCCACCCTGCTCTTATTTCATCCGGGAACACACTGAAGTTCCAACAGCAGGGTTGGCTTCTCACACACCAATCTTTTTCTGGCCATTACTGATAGTCTTTTTATGTTGTCTTTCTACCTCAAATATCTCTGCTGCCATCCCCAACCTTAGAACTACCTCCAGGGACAAAATCCCATCTTCAAACCAAACTGGATGGCCCTATTTGGATCTCTAACACTGTACTTTTATACTGTTATCATATTTATCTTAAAGTCTCTCTTACAAAAGACTATCAATTCCACAAGAACAGGGATTGTTTAACTGTAGCATGAGGAAAAAAACAGTACCAACCTCAAAAGTAAGATGCAGAACACAGACATGTAAGGACGGGCTTGGCACAGAAAATACTCACCGAAGTTACCTATGATTATCACTAGCCACACCACTGCCTGGAGCCCAGCAGCGCATACCCCACAGTAGGACCTCAAAAGTTTACTCAGCGTCCAAACGCTGCAAGTGGAATATTTTATTCCCTTTCTACAACTGAGGGAGACCAGCAGCTCAAGGTCGTAGAGCTACAAAAGGCCGAGACGCGCCATCCAGACTCCGTTCTAAGGCACACTACCTCCCTTTCACTGAGGGCTGACTCAATCTCACTATCTTACTGCTAGAAACACACCAACCAACCCAAGGCCTCTTCCGCTCCAGTAAGTGCCGCTTCTGGAATCTGCGTTTTTTAAGTTAACGCGAATGCATGCTTCAACCTCTCTGCGAGTCCTTTTCTACAAAATGTACTTGGATTTCAAGACCGTAAACATCCTGCGATTCTTTAGTTGTGATACTGTTCCTTCACACTATGGGACTGTTCCTGGAGCATCTCCCATATGCAAAGCACAACTGCAGTAAACGAAGCAATGCCTTCATTTACTTGCGATCTCAGGAAACTCAGGAAGCTTTCACCAAGCCAGCCAGAGTTTTCTCCAGTGCGCTGCAGCCTCCCAGCAATGCAGTCACCTGGCCTGACATGCAAGGTGCCTGCTCCTTCGGAGACGAAGGTCTTAAGGACACATCTGAACGACGCAGGGGAACCTTAAGTTCCGCGCTAGAGCGCAATCTCAAAAAAAAAAAAAAAAAAAAAGGAAAGAAAGCAAAAGAGGTCACCGAGCGGCCCCTCCTTCCTATCCTCCGTGACCAAATTAGGCATACACATCCCTGCCTGGTGGGGGAGGCCACGCACCCGCCGCAGCCACAGGGGCCGACCCTCCCTAGAGGCGCCTCACTCGCCGTGGAGCTGCAGCGGCCTCCCTGAGCAGAGGGCGAAGGCCGCAGTGTCCTTGCCTCCGCTTCCTGGCCCCTCCAGCGCCCAGGGTTCTCCTCTGCCCAAAACTAAGGGAGGCACGGAGAGCGGGAGACGGGAGGCTGCAGTGCCCGGGCTCGTCCCAAGCCTCCTTACCCACTGGGCGGTGAAGCCAGACGCCCGGGCCCGGAGCGCAGCAGAGAAGAACATGGCGGGCCAAACCGTTCGGCTTTCCCTGGCCGCGCAAGGCCAGAATCCCGAGCGTGCCCCGGACGCACGGCGTGCGCGTCCCCGAGTCAGGCTTGGGCGCTAGGAGCGTGTACTACACCTCTCCCTACGCCAAGGGCGGCGGCCCACGGGAGCGCGCGCGGGCGCGCGGAGGCTGCTGGGGCCCAGTGGGCGGAGACCTCCGGGGGCGGGGCGGGACGAAGACCCACCCGGACCCTACAAGGCGGCGTTCCGCCCGCGGTGGCTGGGGTCCCAGCCTTGAAAGGAAGCGTTCGCGAGTGGCTCCCTGGGCTCTTCGAAAATGAAGCATTGACCTGGATTTATGTGGTGAGCTTCTCTCTTGGAGAACCTCGTGAGGGTTAACCACCGTTTCTTGTGTTGCAGTTACTTAAGAAAAATAATAACGTTACAGCCCATTTATAAATTTATAAATCTCATTGTACAAATTATGGAAGTCAAGACACAGAGTGACGCTCCCCGACGAGGTAGGCTTAGATACCAAATGCCTTGTTGGTTCCAGTTCCTTTGCTTTAGAGATGTATATCGGCATTTTTAGGAGTCAGATATTATGTCTGGAATTTGCTTCAGCGTCTTGGGGAATAGAAGGTAAAAACGGAGCAAGATTAGCCTTGAATGATGACTGGTAGATCCTGTTCCTAGTCTCCGTTGTTTTCTATGTATCAGAAATTTTCCGTAATAAAACTTAAAAAAAAAAAAAGCCACACTTCCTTCTTGATGTTTGTTTGGTCATTTCTGGAAATTCCAGCCAAGTGTTTACTCGGTAAGGGCTATAGCATGCACAGCCCCATTTCCTGCTATGGAGAGTCTGCAAGACACCTTCTACCTCTAATTTTCCCTTCACTGCCTTCACGTCCTGAACCCACCCCTTCCATTTACTCGTTTTCTTTGCTATAATAAATTTGTGAATAGTTTCTGGAATTTTCACAGCAGCACAGGGATTTTAAAAGAGAAAGATATTCTGCCCCTCAATGTCGATTTAAATTATTTTATTATAAAGCCACACACACACACACACACACACACATATATATATACACTCAACACTGTGATCCATGTTATACACATAATTGCTCATACAGTTCTTACCTAAAACCAAAACATCTCAGAAATTCAAACAAGCTTAAAAATGGATAAGACTGACTGATTTGGCATGGATCATTTGAATCTGGTATCCATGTCTTTGCTGGATTTTATTAGGGCCTTCTCTGACCTCCCAGTCCACATTAGCCCATAAGAAACCAAAATGCACTTGCCTCAACTTTTGTTACTGCACTAAGTAATAAACTCCCTGGCTGCAAAAACCTGCCACTCCCATCTTTGTTTCAGCAACTTGCACTATACCGGGCATATGGAAGATAGTCAATAAATATGTGTTGACTGAATGAAGAAAAAATTTTTGAATGAATGAAAATTTTGCATATTGTGCCTGCTTATCTAAAAGGGTTGTATGCCTCCGATTGGAATTCCAGTTATTGGTATATGTGTCAGTGAGTGTTTTGCACTACAAGAAACAAGAGACTTAACTAGATTAAGCAATATTGGATTAATCTCACATGAAGAGAACGCCAGAGGTAGAGCAGTTCCAAGGTTATGTCCTCAAAATCTTAAATGCCTCCCATCTTTCTACTCCACCTACTCAGCTGTAACTCCTATAAGGATCACAGGATGGCTGTAGCAATTCCAACTGTCTTAAACAGAGGACAGAAAGAATTCTCAGCTCCCAAGAGTTCCAAGTGTTCCTCTAGTAGACTTCTTTTTTTTTTTTTTAAGATTTATTTATTTATTTGAAAGAGTTACACAGAGAGAGAAGGAGAGGCAGAGAGAGAGGTCTTCCATCATCCACTGGTTCACTCCCCAATTGCCCACAAGGGCTGGAGCTGCACCAATCCGAAGGCAGGAGCTTCTTCCGGGTCTCCAACGTGGGTGCACGGACCCAAGTGCTTGGGCCACCTTCTACTGCTTTCCCAGGCCACAGTAGAGAGCTGGATTGGAAATGGAGCAGCCGGGACTTGAATCGGTGCCCACATGGGATGCCAGCACTGCAGGCGGCAGCTTTACCCACTACGCCACAGCGCTGGCCCCTTCCCAGTAGACTTCTTTGTCTCATTGCATACATGTCATGGTTCTTGGAGAATGTAATGAGTTAACACCTTTAAGTTCTTTAAAAAGTACCTAGCGCAGAGGGCAGGTGGTTGGCCTAGCATTTAAAAGGGTTCAAGTCCCAGCCATGTTCCCAGATTCCAGCTTCCTGCTAAGGCAGACCCTGGGGGAACAATATGGGATGGCTCTAGCAGTTGGGTCCCTGCCACCCATGTGGGAGACCTGGATTGAGTTCCCAGCTGTGGCTTGGCCCAGCTTTGGCAGTTGCAGGTATTTGGGGAGTGAATCTGCGGTCTCAAATTAAAAAAAAAAATAGTGCTTACTTTAAAAAAAACAGTGCCTAGTGCAGAGTAAGTGCTCAGTGTTAGCTTTCATTAACTGTTCTTCCTAGAGTCCTTAGGATAGAGTGTGGGGCTGCTCTTCCTCCCACTTGTCCAGCCATTGTTTCTGGGCACAGACCAACATGGATGTCAGTGGTGTCAGGAGTTAGTGACCCAATGCCATGGGTGTGATTGCAACCAGCTTGCTTACATACCAGCAGCGAACATGATGACTGCCTGATTAGGTATGCTCCACTCTACTTTTTTTTTTTTTTTTTTTTTGACAGGCAGAGTGGACAGTGTGAGAGAGAGACAGAGAGAAAGGTCTTCCTTTGCCGTTGGTTCAACCTCCAATGGCCGCCGCGGCCAGTGCGCTGCGGCCGCTGCACCGCGCTGATCCGATTGCAGGAGCCAGGTACTTATCCTGGTCTCCTATGGGGTGCAGGGCCCAAGCGCTTGGGCCATCTTCCACTGCCTTCCCGGGCCACAGCAGAGAGCTGGCCTGGAAGAGGGGCAACCGGGACAGAATCTGGCACCCCGACCTGGACTAGAACCCGATGTGCTGGCGCCACAAGGCGGAGGATTAGCCTAGTGAGCCACGGCGCCGGCCGCTCCACTCTACTAAAGTAGTGCTACTGCCCTACACCCAGGGAAATTGGCCCTAACTGTAGTGGTCAAGCCTTCAAATAAAGCAGATGTGGGGTACTGGGAGCTAGAATGAAGTCTAGAAGATGTCCAAATGTGGAATCTTTGGCTCTCTCATTCTTACGATTTCTTCTCCATTTAAACCACCACATATGCATTGTTTGAGGACATTGTGTAATGAACACCAGGAGCTTCGTAAACAGACAGACTTGTGTTTGAATTCTGACCTCATCGCTTAGTGGATTCTGTGAAGCTTCAGCCCTCAGCTTCTGAAAGTATACTTAGAGTATTAAATCATTCCGACTATGGAAAATGATTAACATGGTCTCAGGTATGCAGGGAGGGTATGAAAAAGCTTCACTTCTTCCTAGTGTCTGACAAGGTGGCCTGTTCCATCCATGGAATACTTTAGTCAGGATTCTAAACTGTAAATTATCTCCTAAGTCATATCGTACCTACTGAAGCAACCGCTGGCAGATTGTGTGCTCTGCTTTTCAGCATGCCCACACATAACGTAGTTGACCTGCCCATCTTGCTGGGATTTCTAGTAAGCAATGTAAGCTGCAGGCCCAGTCCTGCTTTCAGGAGGAAGAACTCAGAGCCAGTTGTGAAGTCAAAACTCAGTGGAAGGATGGGTTGGGCATTTGATGTGACTGTTAAGTTCTGCTTAGGATATCTGCATCCCCCAATGCGACTGTTAAGTTCTGCTTAGGATATCTGCATCCCCCAATCACATGCAGTGCCTAGGTTCAAATCCCAGCTCTGCTTCCAGTTCTACCTTCCTGCTCATGTGTACCCTGGAAGGCAGGAGTGATGGTTCAAGGGACTGGGTTCCTGCCACCCACGTGGGAGAACTGAATTAAGTTCCTGGTGCCTGGCGTTGGCCTGGTCCAGCCTCAACTGTTTGTTGCAGGTATTTAGGGAGTGAACCAGCAGGTGGGAGATCACTCTCTCTCTTTCTTTTTCTGCCTTACAAAACCAACAACAAACAACAATAATATCAACAAAATTCAGTGGAAGGAGAAAACAGGATAAGCTTATTGCTGAAAAAGAGAGAAAATAGTATTTTTAATAAGAAATTTGAAAATGCAAATACAATGATTCAGTCACACACTAAACCAAAGTGCTAGACCTGTTTTATGCCAAGGTGGGAAGTGATATGAGGTTAGTGAAAAAGTTCATGATCCTTCCAAATTCTTGCCAAGTTAATCTTGGATATGTGGATGTGTGGGACCAAAAGGGAAATGAAAATCAAACAGCAGTAATTTAACAATACAGACCTCAAGAATAGATTTTTTTTAAAAAATGTTTTGTTATTTGAGAGGTAGAGTTATAGGCAGAGAGGGAGAGACAGAGAGAAAGGTCTTCTTCCGTTGTTTCACACTCTAAATGGCTGCCATGGCTGGCACTGCGCCGATCCGAAGCCAGGAAGCCAGGTGCTTCCTCCCGGTCTCCCATGTGGGTGCAGGAACCCAAGCACTTGGGCCATCCTCCACTGCCCTCCCAGGCCAGATCAGAGAGCTGGACTGGAAGAGGAGCAACCGGGACAGAATCCGGCGCCCATATGGGATGGTGGCACTGCAGGGGAGGATTAGCTAAGTGAGCCACAGCGCCGGCCCGCTAAAAGAATACTTCTTAAAAACGGTTTCCTAATTTAAGAGGTTCACTCCCAAAATGGCTGCAACAGCTGGAACTAGGCCTAGCCGAAGCCAGGAGCCAGGAGCCCGGAGCCCAAAGTAGTGCAGGGGCCCAAACACTTGGGCTGTCTTCTACTATGTTCCCAGGCTATAGCAGAGAGCTGGATCGGAAGTGGAATAGCCAGGACTCAAACTGGCACCTATATGGGATGCTGGAGCCACAGGTGGATACACAGCCCAGTATGCCACAGTGCTGGTCCCAGATCTAGCCTACGTGGTCTAATAGGAGAGTCTTTAGAGCAGGTTGAAATTGGTCAGAAAACACTTTCAGTCATCTCCTGTACATGGATATTTTCAAGACTCCATGCAGTGCCT